GAACGTTGCAGTCCTCCGTCACTGAAGCAAGCAAGCCTCATGTTAGTTTCAAGCTGCCTGGCTGCCGGCCCCCATCTTGGCTGTCAGTTAATTTGCATATCTTGGTGATTAGCCAATAGGAAGGGTAGCGGTCGTACGCCAATTACCATGTTTCTCTTTTATTAGATAGGATTAACAATGACTTAGGCACTGGAGTTCCATAGTAAATTAGTTTTTGTGCCAGTGTATGTGAGTGTTAATGAGGTATGTCTGTTGGGGTGTGAACTGTGGCTGCCTGTGTTTGTGTGAAAGGGGGTCTGTGTGTATCTGTGTGTGCTGGAGGAAGGCATAGGATTTGCTGCAAGATATAGTATTAACTGCATGCAGCGACTATATCAGATGGTGCAGGTGAAGGGAATTTTCATCATTGAAGAAAGTCCTACTTGGCAATGCTGGTTTAGTCACTTCCTGACTGTAAAATGGCATAGAGATTAATTTTGCTCGACCATCTGAAAGTTCAATAGTCTGCAAACACGTTGTGCACAGTATCTAGTACCGAGGTGTTCGCTCTCTAACTCAGGCACTCATTACAATCTGTCCCATTAGTGGCAGTTGCATGAGGAATGGTAGAAAGAGTGGTGAGGAATCGTGGTCCTTTTCTTTGGCTGAAGCTATATTATTGCTCATTGGGGCATGTCAGTCTTGGCAGAGAATGTGTAAGCGTCAACAATATGTCACTGCTGCTCTCCTGTCAGGTGGGAATGAAATACTAAAGTCATGCAAATTATAGGGTGTTACTACCATGGCACAACTGCCCTTGCAAGATCGTTTTCTAAATAGTTACCCAGTACAATGGTAGATGTTGCCTTTGGCCTCCTGGGTAACCTCTGTGAACCTTGGTTTAGACTTATTACCTCTGCAGAGTAATATGTACTTTAGTTAAGGTATAAAAATCTTCCCCAGATGTTATTAATTTAATCTTTCTTGCCCTTTTCAATGGTCTCTAGGTGAAACACATGTTAAAGTGAAGGGATAGCTAGTTACGTGTTCCTCAGTCTGCCATCCTGCCCGGGCACTGCTTTATACTTGACGAAGGGCAAGGCTAAATGCTGGCTTATGCTGTTAGTTGGTTCAGTGGCCTATAAAACCCCCAAATTGCCACATAGTATGAATAACAGTTATCGATCAAGTACTTCGCAGTTTTCCCTATGGCTTACCTGGTAATTTTGTAAATGTCAGGTTGAACCCCATTCTTTAGTTAGGATGGACTGTCAGCAAAAATATGTGTCAGGAAATACTGGGGGATGGTTGAGGCAAGGGTTCTGCATAGGTTATTCCTGGTTTAATTTCTGGCAAAAGAAAATGAAACAGTCGGGAAGGAATTCAAATACACAATATTTTTATCTATACAGTTCAAATCATATATATGTGATTCAGAAAACGTATACTCTTTGGACACGAACACGTTGGCACACAAAAGTTGTCTATTTTTGTGTCCTCTCTCAACCCGCATGAAGCATGGACCACTTATTTGTATGTATGCTCTCCATTTGAATGCCTCTGTGCCATGGGAAAGTTCCTCATGGTCTCTTTGCCTCCGTGTCTCCTGTCTGAAATGGCACTGTTAGTGATCACATGGTAGGACTGCAGTAAGGATTATGTGAGACACTCAGAACCCAGGCCAAGAGTGCACTCAGGACATGTTAATTAGCGTCTCCCCTTTCTTGCCTGCACCTCATGCTCCCCCTCTGACCTGAGCACATATATTTAAGTGCATATATGATGGGACTTTGTGCAATTGGAGATTTTGTAAAAATACTTTAAAAATCTAACACTGATATATGCAGGAGTGTTCTATAAACTCAAATGCATGCAGCATCTTGTTCTTGTAATTTCTGGGGTTCTAGTCCTGGCTTTACCTTAACCAGCTGTGTGACATCCATCAAGTCACCTAACATTCCTGGAATCAGCAAAGCTTTAGAAAATCCCTGTCAGAATTCAAATTTATGTGGGCTTCTATGTTTTCCTCAAACAGATTCCCATTAAGAATTTATTTATTTATTTATTTGTTAATCCTCATCCAAGGTTATTTTTCTGTTGAGTTTTAGAGAGAGTGGAAAGGATGGGGAGAGACATAGAGAGAGAAACATAGATGTGAGAGAGACACATCAGTTGGTTGCCTCCTGCATGTACCCCTACCACAGCCTGGACAGGGCCAGGGATCGAGCCTGCAACTGAGGTATGTGACCTTAACCAGATTCAAACCCCTGATCCTTCAGTCTGAGTCAAACCAGCTAGGGCAAGAATTTAATATCATTTGAATGTTTGTCTTATAAATTCTTGTATTTCTTCATGAGAACTATATTTCATCCAAACTCAAACTTTGAATTTGGGCAAATAGCATTTGAATGACTGGACTGTGATTTTGGCTGAATACCTAACTTTTCCAAGCCTTGGATTCCTCACAACATTTTTACAAAGATCTGATGCTGAATACTGTAAAACATTGCAGTACCCCACTTCTCCTGTAGCAGCCTTATTTATTCCCTGATTTCTGGCTTCCCTCAGATATTGATCAAAGAGAGAAGTCCTGGGAACAGTTTTGGAAGTGTCCTTCTATAGGGAAATGTGCTTTTGGAAGGGTTTACTTTTAGGGGTAGTCACACTGTTCCTCTGAAATAAAACCACATGAGACTTCCATGTGCCCCTCACTGAGGTTGCTCATATACCACAAAGCTGCAAAGGGACCCACGTAAGCTCATCCCTTGCCAAGTGCAAAGCAATCTCTGGCTTGTGTGAGCAGTTACGTTTGCTGAGTCAGCTGGGAAAGAGCACTTTGGAGGCGAAAGTTTATTTCAGAATTGGGAGCAAGTGGGGAGGCACTTATTTTTTCCGTTACTTTGTCTTTTTCTTCTTCTGTTTCCTAGAATCAAATGAAATTTGGTGCTACACTTTGGATTTGGTAGTAAATGGAAAAAATTGTTTCCAAGTTTTCAGTGACCTCCCCAAATGCCCCAAATTATTTATTTTGAGAATTTAGATATCCTATCTGTGCCTCACCTTAAATGGCTATTATATGTGGTACATAGCAGGTACTCAAAAGGTATCTTTTGGTTAATGGAACATAGGTAATGATTAGGGCTTTTAGAGTCCCTCTGGTTTAAGTGCCAGTGTTCCACTATTTTTTTTTTTTAATAAGGAAAGGAGATAAAATCCTATTTTCTTTTTATTTATTAAAGCTTAATGGGGGGAAGGGGAGGATGGAGGCAATTAATTTTCTAAACTTTTTCATCATAGTCCTTGGGTTTCAGATGAGATTGGGCACATTCAGGGTGGTATGCTACAGACATGGTCCTTGGATTTCAGTAAATTTTTTTCTTGAGTTCAGCTTCTCATGGAAAGATTCAGGGTGTTTACTGACAAACACAGCTTTAGTTTTATGTTTCTCTGTTCCTGAGTTATGTGGTTTTCCTCTTCTTGGCTTCACTTATACTTGACAGCAAGGATTCCAGTATGGCATGTGCCCACTAGAAGAGAAGGGTGCCCGGAAGTGGGTGAGCCACAAGCAGCAGTAAGAGAGATAAAAGACTGTTAACAGTACAGAGGACATGGAAAAGAGACAGGGGGGAAATATTTGTATATCACATTTCTGATCTTCAGAATATGCATACAAAGAACTTTCACAACATCCTAATAAGAAAACAACCCAATTTTTAAAATGGTCTAAGATTGTTATAGATATTTCATCAAAAAACACATGAAAAGATGGTCAACATCATTAATCATTAGGGAAATTCAAATAAAAATCACAATGAGATACTATTTTACACCTACTGGAAATGGCTATAAATTAGATAATAACAAGTTTTGCCATGGATATGGAGAAACAGGAACCTCATAAATCGCTGGTGGAAATTTACAATGAATGGCCACTCTACAGTTTGGTATTTTCTTAAAAAGTTAAACCTTGCCCAGATGGTGTGGCTCAGTGGATGAACCAGGAGGTCATGGTTTGATTTCTGGTCAGGGCACATGTCTGGGTTGTGGGCTTAATCCCCAGTAGGGGACATGCAGGAGGCAGTCAATCAATGATTCTCTCTCATAATTTATGTTTCTATATCTTTCCCTTCCTCTCTCTGAAATCAATAAAAGCATTTTTTTTAAGTTAAACCTTAATTTGTCATATGACCAAGCAATTTCACTCATATGTACCTACTGAACAGAAAGGAAAATATATGTCTATGAAAAGACTCGTTTACAAATGTTTACACTAGTATTACTTGTAATAACTAAAAGTGGAATTAACTCAAATGTCAATTGATGAATGGATAAACAAAATGCATTCTAGTCATACAGTAGGATACTACTCAGCAATAAAAAGGAATGAAACACCAGCTATAATATGCATGAATCTCAAAAAAATTTTGTAAGGGAAAGAAGCCAGTTCAAAAGGTTATATACCATTTAAGTAGAATGTCCAGAAGAAGCAAATTTATAGAGGTACAAAGTAGGTTGGCATTTGTAGGAGCTGCAAATGGTAACGGAGGTTACTGTAAGGGTTTGAAAGATCTTACTTGGGTGATAGAAACTGAGTTATGGGGTGATGGTTTCACAACTCTATAAATTTACTAAAATCATTGAATCATATACTTAAAATGGGTGGATATTATGGTATGTAAACTATCCTACATAATAAAAGGTTAATATGCAAATCGAACCACTGAACAAACGGACAGCCTGTCGCTATGATGTGTACTGCCACCAGTGGGCAGAGGCTCAACGCAGGAGCTGCCCCCTGGTGGTCAGTGCGCTCACACAGCGGGGAGTGCTGCTCAGCCCGAAGCCCTGAGCTGGGCTCATGGCTGGCAAGTGCAGCGGAAGTGACAGGAGCCTCTCCCACCTCTGCAGCAGCACTAAGGGTGTCCGACTGATGGCTTAGGTCAGACATCCCCCAAGGGCTCCAGGACTGCGAGAGGGGGCAGCCCAGGCTGAGGGGTGCCCTCCCTCCCCACACCCCACCCCGGCCGAGTGCACATGTTTCGTGCACCAGGCCTCTAGTAATTCAATGAAGTTAAAAAGGAAAAAAGTGCACAGAAAAGAAAAGGAATAGAAACAGGCTAGCAATTCACTGCAGTAATGGATGAGTCTCAAGACTAAAGGAAAGCATATTATAAGAACACCCCTGTCTTCTGTTGAAGAGGGAATGAAATGCCAACACTACTTAGCAAAAGTTCCACCTCTTTGAGTAGGAGAGGGTACTCCGTGGTGATATATAGACTCAAATTTGTCACATTTCCCTGTCACTCAATGCCATCATTGTCTTACTAGCAGTTTACTGAAACTTATCTTTGGCCACACTCAGCATTTCCACATGTTCCTTTCCCATTGGACCTTCAGAAAACTTGCCACAATCCAGGTATCACAGCAACCATAGGATCTCTGTGATGCCTGCTTCCCCACATCAGGGTACAGTGTTGTATTTCCACAGCTCCCAAATTTATGAGTTTTTTCTTTTAGAATTGGGTCCAAAATCTGGAGATCCTGGGTACAGGTAATGATTTGTACTTTTGGGGATGTTCCCATTTTTTTAATTCATGTTGAAATTATGTGGAAGAATTGAGATTTAATCAGTTCAGACATGATATTTGGATTTTCTGGACTTGAATTTGGTAGCCAGATTTAAGAAATTAGCCATTTTATTCTCCTATTGGCTTCTGAGAATTTCCTTCTGCCTTCTCTGTCCCCTTTACTAACTAACTAACTTCCTTGAATTAAATGGTTCCCCAAATTTAGGCCACAGCTCCAGATTATTTCTGTTTTTCAAGAGTGTTCATGTCTGTGTGGATGCTTAGTCAGCACCTCTGTTCCATATCTCTCTCTTCCTTTCCCCAAACTTCAGTCCCTTGTGTACATTGGCATGTGCTATATGTCTGTGTTCCTCAAATTCAGCAGTTCTAAGCTTTAACCATTTTCCCTTTCTTCAATAGAAACCACTTTTCCTTTTCTCCTTACTTGTGAATATTTACTTCATCTCTTGGTTGAAAGAATATAAAAACTATACTCTATTGGGCAGTTTTCTCTTCCTTGCTCCTCATCTAGTTAGTCACTGAAACTAGTCTATTTCTTCTGTTACAATACTTCTCCTTTGGTCTGTTCTCGCCTTCCTACTCCCACAGCCATCTTCCAGAGTGATACCCTCCTAGTCTCATGTGTTGGCTACTGTACTATCCTCCTCTGGTCTTTCTGCTTCTTCCTTCATTCTTTGCAAATCTCTCCTGATTCTTGTTGCTAGATTCTTCTTTCTAAATAACCCATGTAGTACTGCTTTCTTTTGCTCTCTAACCATGAGTTATTATGTGCGAGGGAAATTTTGAATTTTAATTACTAATCAAATATAAGGAGTTATTTTTGTATTGTTGAAGATCATGGGGTGTCGAAGCCAAGAGATGCTGGGTTCTGATTATTAAAAATTGGCAATAAACTTTGGAGAAATCTGCTTGCCCATAATTGATATTTTAAAACTCAGGGACAATAATACCTACTGTATAGCACTACAATGAGCTTAAATTAGAATATATACTAGTATTTATAAGTTAAGTGCTTTATAAGTGTTAGTTTTTGCTTGTCTGGCATTCATTAATCTTTGCCTAAACTCTCTACATTGGCAAACTGTTGTTGCCTCTTGGGGACATGCTTTGTATTTAGCCGCCCTGCTTTTCTTCATATCTTGCTCTTGAATAACCTCTTTTCTTTTCCTCTT